AGGAGGGTTTGACTACTAAGGAAATTAATCACGTGGACTGTCTGTAAAACACTGTCACGCTGTCAAGTTTGCAAAGTAATCCTAAAAAGAACAGAAACACACCCATCATCTCCCAAAAGAGTGGAACACTGTTAGAGAAATTTTCTGTGAATTTCTTGTGAGCGTTGTGCTTTCAGATAGTTTTAGAACATGAATGTGAATAATCATTTCTTCTTTTGAGTTATCAGGAATGCGCTTTTTGATCATTTCTGAATACTCTGAAGGACAAAGTCTCTAGCATCCAGTGCAGAAAGATAGCGTGTCTTCAGTGTGGAACGTTTGTGAATGAATTTAGGATTTGCAGTCTAACTATGCATATGGTGACAGCAAACCATTTATTTCTGGTTGTGTATATTATCTCCAGGTATTGCAAATGAGATGGGTGGGATCACATTGATACCCATTTCAATGAATTTAGGTCAGCCGTCTAAAATGGAGGCTCAGGCTCCCAGCCAGCCTCAGGTGAATCAAGTGCAAGAAGTACATCTGTCATCAGGAAGCAAACCAAAGAAAACAGGATCCTTGGCACTGTTTTACAGAAAGGTAAGTATCTGTGTTAGGAAGCGTGGTTTTTCTCGTGGCTATATTGCAACTTATCCCTCTGAACAGTTTTCATTACCTTTCAGTCTTCAGATACCTTCCCTTTGGCATATATAGCTCTCACATAATTGGGAGGACAAGGGAAAGGATGTCGGTTTCTAAAGTCTCGCAAAGAATCCGATTCCCCCCTCCACAAACGAACCCCATAAGAGATAAGTGGTTCATCTTTTTCAATTAGCAACAGTGTTTGTAAATAACTACCTAGAAAACACTTGGTAGTTTTTAATTCTCTTATCTGTTTTTATTGCCTCCCACGTTTGCAAGGGTTAGACGTATCAAAAATGAGATTATCCTCCTGTGTCGTGCTCATTCAGAACCACGCTGTTTGGGATCCCATATCTGAAGATTCTCTTGCTAATGACTTTCTGAGGCCTCCCCGGTAGGTGCTGATCTTGCTGGTATGGGGCCTCAGAAATCAGTGAAGAATAATACAGCTATCTTCAAATTACTAGAAAGAAAGAACTTAATTCTTGAAGTAGCGAAGGGCTTTGCGGGGTAGGGTAAGAAAAGTGCTTCAGAGAAACTTCAAATTCCTTGCTTGCCTTCCATTATGGAGTGTCTGAGGGATCTTTTAGGGGAGGAGGGAGGAACTCGCCTAATGCCTCTGAAGAATATATGCCTAAATCAGTCTCACAAAAGCATAGGAAGCTTTCTTTTTTTGCTATTTATTTCCTATCCGAGAAAAGTTTATTTTTAGAGGTTTTTGCCGCTGTAGATCTCTGTAGGCTTAAAATACAGATACTGTACTGAACAAGCTGTAAACCTAAATACAGAAACTAATTCCTGGAAAAACTTGTAAGGCATATCCTATGTCTGAACTTTTGGTTCTTTAATTTTGACAGTGACAATTTGTCTGTCTATCTCTCTCTTATTTGTCTATTTTTAATTGATAAGCAAGCAGCCAGGTGTGAATTTGGATTGCTTATTAAACTCTTTACTCAGTTGGGAAACGATATTTCGGTTGTGTCAAATATATTTGACAAACTAAGGGGTAGGCAGCACCGCTCTTGGTTATGAAGGAGAACTCTTATCTTTATTTAAATCTATCTGTAAGACTGTTTTGACTTTCCATTTACAATGGTGATAGTATTCAAAACGATAGTTTTTCCCTTCTTTGCTGTCCTGTTCCTGTTCCTGGACTGTGTAACTGAAAATGAACTCCGCCTGCTTTCTAGAATAAAGACTTTGTATGCCTAACTTTCACTGATGAAGTAAGAATGTTGCACTTGTCATGGTTATTTCAGGTTTCAGGACAAATTTTTGTAAACAAAAAGGAAAAGGAGACTGACAGATTGCTGATTTAAGACTTTTTTTTGATCATAATTGAAATATCTTCCAACTTTCTGCCATTATAAGTGATATGGTGCAGGAGCGATAGGCATGTTTTTAGTCAGATATCCTGTAAGTGTTAGAAATCCAACATTTGAACAGAATTGACAACTTAGTACTTGAAGAACCGTCTTGGGAAGAGAGGGGAAATTTTGCTGAAGTATGCAAGTTCAACAGAGTTCAGCAGCTCTACTCAGGTGAAGATTTTTGTAGACTAGGATAAGCTCATTTCCTTAACTCTTTACTGTGTATCTTTTCCGTCCAGGTGTATCATTTGGCAAGCGTGCGCTTACGTGATCTGTGCTTAAAACTGGATGTTTCCAATGACTTGCGCAGGAAGATATGGACTTGTTTTGAATTCACACTGGTTCATTGCGCTGATCTAATGAAGGACAGACACTTGGATCAGCTTCTTCTCTGTGCTTTTTACATCATGGCAAAGGTAATGCGTAGGCTTAAGAAACATAGGGAATTTTACTTCAGTTGAAAATATAAACTGTGTTTACAGTTTACTATCTGATTGCTTTATTCATGTCATATTACTGGGAGGGAAAAGTCCCTCCCAGTAGTGCATCTTTCCTTGTTTTGCGTAATCTCAAAAGTTCCCATCAACCAGCCGCTGGGTAAGAGTGAATTTCTCTTCTTTTTCTGAGCCCATTCACGCTGTGAGCACTGGACAGCATAGACAAAGCAGTGTGGGGGTCTTACTGCATCACACTTGTGTTTTCTACTATCCTGAACTGAAAAAACTGCACAATAAAAGAATTATGCAAATGCTAAACAAAAATCTGCAAGATCTTGCATCCTTATGCATGAATGGAAATGGTTTTTTTTCCACAGAATCTCTTTGCATTTGAATATGTAGTATGTATGTTGAAGCACTGAGCCAGTTGTCTGTTACTCATCTCTCTGTTTTTTAGTAAGTTTACTGGTATTGATTTTAAGGTGTTATTAAGTTGGAGTATGAAACCAGAATTTTGGCCTGACTTAATCTTCAGAACCGATGGTTAAAATGACCATCGAGTCTGATTCAGATGCGGATTCAGGAAAATGATGTGCAGACAAGGCTATACTATAATAATGGGAGAAGGACTTACTTTTTCTCTTTGAGGAAGACAAAGTGAAGAGGAGTGTTATCTATAGAGGGGAACTGATGTTCAAATTGTGACTGCTTGTGCTCTTAATAAAAGCTAAGCTTTAACGTGTGCTTACGTTGTTTGACCTTGCTTACTGATAGCTGTAGAAGAACAAAACTGTTGAGTAGTCAGCGCTCCCATATATTATCATGTAGTTTGCCAAATTTTTTTAAAATACTGTCTCCAGAGTGCTGTTTTCAGTGCAGCGTGACACCTGACAATTTAGCCAGAGACCTTGATAAGTTCTTTCTGACTCCTACTGCAAAAATTATTGCTCATCTGTTGTTAAAACTGGAGATGTGTGGTTGAAAAACAAAGTCCTGTAACAAATGAGCTTTTCTGAAACATGAAAAAAAGTTGAAACTGCGTGTATATGTACACCTGCATAACAATTTGTTCGGGGTATCCTATTTGTCTAGTTAGAAAAGTTAAGGGGCCTACTTCTCCAATTCACAAATTTCTTCTGACTTTGTAGTATTTCCCTTCTTTAACTCTCTCTTCTTGTCTGTGGAAGAAAAATTGGAAAAGGAATGATTCCTGAAAATCATAAGCAAGAAAGGTCTTTACTAGCTCAGACAGGAAACCAGGAATTCTTCAGCAAGAAAAATTCTTGTTCGTATTCTCATCGCCAGAACTAAGTTTTAAAATAATGTATTCATATTAATGCTCATGAAAGAACAATATGAGGGAAGCTAATTGAATAGAGTGGACTTGAGCAGCCTGATTTAGTTGGGCCTGCTTTGAGGAGAAGTTTGGACAAAATGACTTCCAGCAGTCTCTTCCAACCGAAGACGTGATTTTGTGCGTACCCTTAAAATATTAGGACATCACAGCAAACCTACACAAGCTGAATTGTGGAATTACAAAGCAGTTAAACATTCATGCTCTGCTCCTTTCCTACTACAGTTGGATGGAAGTTAGCATGAGCTGTGCTCCCATGCTCCTCCTTGTATGGAAGGAGGAAAAAGCAGTAGAGTCCCAGGTTGACTGGCTTCTATTCCCCATATGGTAAAGCTCTGTGCAGGCCGTGGTCTTTCAACATACTATGCATTTAGATGTAAACAGTGTTGCAGTTTGAGGAAAAAGCCTCCTTTGCGATTTAAAGCTAAGGTAATCTTCTCCAATTTCAGTATTTGGTCTACTTTTCTTGTGAGAAAAGCTTAATAAATAAAGGGTGCTAGAGGCTATACTGTCTCTTAAGTCACATGCAGGTTCTTTATTATTTAAAAAAAAAAAAAAACAAGAAACCAAAAAAACTGCAGTTTGCAGTTGGTCTTGAATAGCTTTTTCTTTTCTAGGTAACTAAAGAGGAAAGAACTTTTCAGGACATAATGAAAAGTTACAGAAATCAGCCACAAGCAAACAGCCACGTGAGTAAATATTGCCTTTCCTTTATATAAATATTAGATACAGGTGGCTTTACAGGTGGCTCTTCAAAAGTTTATGCTAATAGTAGAAAATCAAATCATTTTAATGTTGAAATTATTTAGATGGACTTCATCTAATCTTACTTTCCTGTTTTCCTGGGCAATGGTGTTTTTCCCTCCATGTCCTGTAGGTTTATAGGAGTGTCTTATTGAGAAATATTTCTGCAGATGTCCCATCGGACAAAAATGCAGACCAAGATGTAGAGATGACAGTTGGTGAGTAGAGCAAAGTAATCTCCTGTTTTTAAAATGTACTTGCATGCTTTAAAAGAACTGAATGGTCAAGTAGTAAGGAATGCTCTTGTGAGGAGAAGGGAGGCATGTTTTATGATTTTAAATGTATTGCAAAACAACATTGTTGAAAAACAAACCGTCTTGTCAGCAGCTCTCCTCTGTGTTTGGACGTGAAGAGTATACTTCCCACTTGGATTGAACGTTTAATTTTTTTTTCTTAGCTTTGATAACTTGAGGTTGAAGTGTTTTCTGAATGCGCGCCCAAGTGTGGCAGTGATATTGTAGTTGTTCTTGGACAGCTGTACTGGTTAATAAGGAAGGATGAATAGTACCCAAAATATTCTTACAGAATCTTTTCCTAATGTGGTTTTATGGTATCACTTATTCTGAAGGATTAAGTAGAGAGAACTTGCTTTACAAAATCATCAGTCAGCCTTAGTCATTTCATTTTTTTTCTTTTTGCTTGTGTTAAGGATGCATAAATGCCTGAGCAGTTACCTTCTTTCTGGTGAGCATTAGGCTATTGGATATGCTCTTTTTGGACCACTGTTTTTATATATTCAGCTTTCTTTTAAATAGTTTTGATGTTTTATCTTTACTGTGGGTTAAAGAAGAAAGGGATATGAGAGGGATTTGAACAAAGCATAAAAATTGTGGCATACCTGTTGTGACTTGTCTTCACCTTGGAAAAGGTCAGGAAAGTGAGCGATCCCAAGCTCATGTACGACCCCACAAGCACAACAGATCAGGACACATGCAGAAAGTTAGAAGGCTCGCTCTTATGGAAGATTGCCACGGTGCATGGAATTCAACTGCTTGAACCAAGTGTTAGTGCCATATTTAAATACCCTAGAATATTTCACCTGGGTCTGGGAAGCTGCTGCTATCTTGTAGGTTCAGCATCCTGTTCAGCAGCTCCATGATTCTGGGATGTCTTAAGGCATCTGAAGTGGCACTGGGCTCCCACATTTTGCCAAGACAATTTGCTTGGTTACAAAATTCTTCAGTTCCTTCTCCTGCCAGACTTTTTCTTAGGTTAAGAGTTCTGTCTCCTTTATCTAGGGTCAATCGTCAATCTGTGTTCTTCTGACATCAGCTTACAGGACTATTTGTGCTATGATAAAAGACAGGCATATTAAGGAATTGCACTCGTGTATCCACTGAAGTTTTTGATATTTGTCTTATGTTGCCCCGATCATAAAAGGCATTATTCGATGTTCCCTTGGAAGATACTTGTTTTGCTTGGTAGTAAACAATACAGAGGATGAAACATAGAAGGTCGCATGCAGTAGCGATATTCAGCAAATGAGAGAGTACCTAGCAACAGTAATACACTTGTTGTGTAACTGTAGCTTTTTCCACTGAACAATCATTTTAGCTATATAACATATAGTTACAGTGACATATATGCCTGAACAAGTGGTGTCATGGCTTCCTTGCAGTAGTTGAGTATGAGTTGAGTATGAAGCTGTTCTCTGTCAGCTGATCACTAGAAACTTTGCCTGGAAAAACTGGAAGTTGTCAGACTGCTTAAGACTTTGTTTGCTGTGAATTTGCATAGCACGTGCAGAGTGTTAGAGAAGTTGAGATCTACGGTCTGGCAGTTCTGGCCGCCTTAAAACTGTTCTAGATCCTGGCTAGTTTGATTATTGCCATACTTGTATTGTTGTCTAAACAACGTAAGTGAGCAAAATATGACTTTGTACAACTTCCAGCCCCACAAAACATGGAAAAAGGGTACAATAGTGCTATGTTTGGGGGGCAGTGTTGTTTTTGGGGGAGGGTGCTATAGTTCCATTTTACTATTAAAAATAAAGATTTATGTTAGCCTTTTAGTCATAATGCGTTAACCTCCTATACCAGCAGCGCACCCTGATCTTGTCTGAAGCACACTTTTTAAATTCATCTTATTAATTAGTCAGTTTATGAATGAGTTCTTGTCAGCTGGATATTATAAGACTGAATCTGAAGAACTCAGTTTGCTGATACTATATTCTTGAAATCTGAAGTTCTCTCTTTACTGTTAGACTCATCTATGAAAACTTATTCCTCAGCAAGATCTGCAACAGAGAACTCCAGTGAGTCAGGAGCAGAGGAGAGAGGTGACCTTATCAAATTTTACAATGCAGTCTATGTAGGAAGAGTAAAGTCTTTTGCACTGAAGTACGATATCACAAACCAGGATCATGTAGTAAGTAAAATATTTTAGAATATTGCTCTATCTAATAAAGATCATAGAGACAAAGTAATTTCACTGCCATTTAAAAATATGTTGTTAATTTTGTTTTGTTTTTCCCGTGGCTTGGTTACAGATGTCAAATAGTTATAGGTAACGGTATGAGGACTTGCTTTAATAGCCTTTAAAGAGGACAAACTATGAGATGCAGTGAGTTTATAGCTCCATTTTGAGCCTCTCATATTGATGCAATACGCCTTTGCTCAAATGCCTGTGGAACGTCTGTGTAAAGTATCTGGGAAATAAATTTGTTCTGTAACTTGGCAGGCGCTTACTCAGTTCATTCACTGCCGTAGGATAAAATATTCAGCAGAAAACCTGGAAGTGCATCTGTCTTACCTTTCTGTGACGTTACTGTTCTTTAAATATTTTCCGATTTAGCTTCTATGCAAACTTGGCCTCTTTCAGATGGAAGCCCCTCCCTTGTCTCCATTCCCGAACATTAAGCAACAACCGGTATCTCCTCGGCGGATATCTCAACAGCACTCTGTTTATGTTTCGCCTCACAAGAATGGTGCCTGCTTGACACCTCGAACTGCTCTACTGTATAAATTTAATGGGAGCCCTTCTAAGGTAGAAAACAAAAAGGTTGAAAGGGGTGTAAATTAGGGAGAGGGACAAGCTGTAATCTCATGATGAGAAACTGCTCTAATGCAGTGAATGTTCTTTGAACTGGTTGCTCTGTTTGTGCTGAAGGGTAGAATCCTTTACTTAGGATTCCTCACCTGATCAGCAAAGAGGTTCAAAACAGTAGCTTTTTGGGTTTCAGATAACTGAAAATCAAAAAATTTTGAAATGGAGTAATACCTCATCCTCATAATACCTTATTGATTTTTAAATTTTTTCTTAATCGCAGAGTTTGAAGGACATCAACAATATGATAAAACAAGGTGAACAAAGAAGTAAGAAACGAGCAATAACAATTGATAGTGACACTGAATCCCCTACAAAACGACTCTGCCAGGAAAATGATGACGTTCTACTTAAGCGTCTCCAGGATGTTGTCAGTGAAAGAGCAAATCATTAAGACTGCCAGTTTTCTGTGGGATCTAAAAGCTATGGAGTTCAATACAACTCTCATGCTGTTTATTTCTTGCTTTTCAGCCATGTTGTATGCAGACAGCTGCCAAATTTTTTTTAAACATTGAACTGTTGCCTGACTTGCACAGGATGCAAAAAGAAAAGGTGAAGCAGTAACTGGCAGAGAATAAGTATGATCTTTATTTTTGTTCCCAAAGAACATACTGTGTTAGAAGTTACTCTGTTTGAGCTGTTTTAGCAAAAGACTGATCTGTAGAAAGCTGTGTTCGATGTTCTCTAGCCTAATTTAGAGCATCTGAGTTCTGAGTGTGACTCAGCTTCTAATAAACAGTGGTTTTATTTTTGGAATAAGGATGTTCAGGAAATAAGCGAAATCAGTTAATTTTCTCAAGCTTTTGGGATTTGTTTGGGGAAGAAACTTTAAAAGTGCCTTATTTTAAAAGAGCGTGAAATTCTATGCATTATTTTAATGTGAAGTAAATGGAGTGGAGAACAAACTGATCATTTAACCTCAGTAGGGGGTTTAAACAGCTTTGAACTGTATGACTTCATGTGCTGAGCTCCATCTCCTCTCAGAACTTCAGCAAAAGTGAACGTTATGGCGTGGATCAGACAGCTTTTACGTTAAGGCAGAAACCGCAAAGTATGAACAGCAGCGGTGTAAATGGGACACTGATAAAGCCCTGAGATATGTTTCAGTTAGTCCGAATTATCTTTCTTCAGAGACAGTGGATGCTGCCATGGGAGCTGCTGCTTTCCGGTTGGAAACTTGATTGCAGTTCTGCTGTATAAGCTGTTCATACATATTTTGTCTTAACTGTGGAAAAAGTACTGGGCGGTTACAGTTCAAAGCAATTTGGGCTTTGGCCAGCTTACAGCAGTTTTAATGTGCAAATTCATTTAACAAACTGTATCTCTTAATTTTATTTTCTCCTGAAGACTCTAGTCTCTTGTTGTGTAGTATCTACACTGAATGTAAGCCCAATCAGATAAGGCATGTTTGTATATATGATTTCTATAGGTATTAAAGGTGTGGATTCATTGGAAATGTACAAATTCCAACATCTAATTCCAAGTTGTTATTGCTAAGGTATTTGATAGGGTTTATTTTACCAAAATGGAGAAAAGTCAAGGTTTGTTCATTACTGTATATCAGTAGTTTGATCTTATATCATAACTGCATTTATGATTAGAGCCATACAGAAACTTCTCAGCACTGTATTTTTCAATTCTATATGTGTGTATTAAAAAAAAAAAAATTTTTAACAATTACATAGGACTTGTGTAAAGAGCTCTATTCACTTTATTGTTTGGTTTGTTTAATACATGCCACAAGATCTGCTGTGCCTCTGTTCATGAGAAGATACTTTTATGATCTCAGATAATCTCAGCTAATGAATCTGGCCAGCAACGATGTAGGAAAAATGTATTTAAAAGTGTACGTGTGCAAGGACTCTAAAACTTAGCAGTGAATAGGAAGTTTACAAATGCTATAATTCATTTTTGAATTATTAATTATTTACTCTTTCATTTTGGTAGATTTGGAAAAAGGTGCTTATCTCTTTGATCACCAGGAGCTGCAGTATGAGGCAGTGGCTATGCAATACCCTAGGTTTAATGCAGGTTATTCTGTTGAGTTCCTTTATTCATTTTGAACATTTGGCTCCAGATCTTGAGATAAAAAGCACAAGGGAAGCAACCTTTTCATCCTCATTTGTTCACCAATGCTGTTATACATTGAATGGTTATAGTCATAATTCAGTCCTGAAAAACCTCCTGTGGGGAGGAAACGGGGAGTCTTGATTTCGCCTTATGCATTCTGTTTTATTTGCGTGGAGGGCTGCATGCTTTCTGGATGATGTGGTTAACATCAGCCTTAACATAAGCATAAGTCTCTCAGCAGTATTGTATCATGAGAACTTAGTCGATTTGGTTTTATTTTAACATCGTGTGCAGATCTTTTTTCTTCCTGCTCACCACACTGTTCTAGTATTCCCTGAAATTGTGGAAAAATGATGGTAAAATTCTTATTAGTTGTCATTAGGCATATTGTTTTTTCATTAGAAAAATTAATGTACAACAACTGAGTGCAGTTCAGGTTTTTTCATAATAGATTTGGCCCTTTTTAGGTGCTAATAGAAAGAAGCATTTTTTGGACTTGTTAAACAACTGAAATAACTATAAGCTTATGTGACAATTTTATAACGGTTTAAAAGTGCCTTCACATGTAAATATGTATTTTATAATAAACAATTTTTTAAAATGTTTTAACCTGTGTTGCTCAGTTTCCTTTGGTAATTAATTAAATGATGCTTTCTGTCTGCATTTTCAGTACTGTCAGAGACTCTTGTTCCTTTTCTGTCTTCCTCAAATTTCTTTGGGATTTTTTTTTTTTTGTTTTAAATTCAAAATGAAAGAAAATGAATTCTCATTTGATCTGTCCTGGATTTCCTTCTGTGATTTCTGCACTGTTTGTACTTCAGTCATGCAGTTTCTGGGAGGAAGAGGTGAGTAATACATTCACTGAAGTAATCAAAAACACTGAAAAGGCAAAAATCCTACAGTGATAGATGACCCTGCCCATTTGAGGGAGGCATGACTTCAGCAGGGTGAACCATTACAATTATTGTGAACTCAGTTTTTAACCTTGCTGGGCTGCAGATGTGTCATACAGAATACTGGTTATGATTACCCTGATTCTAACAGTTTAAATTTATTTAAAACCCATTCTGGACATGTTCAGATTTGTACCAGAGGCCTTATGCTGGTTTTGTGTCTATAAATGTGCATAAAGCTGGCATGGATTCAGTGCTCAGTTTTGCTCAGAACTTTTTATCAATTTTTGTTGTGCACATGCTCTAGAAGAAGAAGTTCTTGAGAAGGCTGATCTGATTGTGCAGAGATTCATTTTAATGACTTTGCAGGACAGCTTTAGTGTCAAGGTTTAGTTTTAAAAGACTCTATGTTAAGCATAGTTTCCAACCCAAACTGGTGTTGAGATGTATAGCCGTGAAAATGTGGCTGGCTTTTCTCATCGTGAACTGTCGTGCTTTTTTTTTTTTTTTTTT